TTAATGTTTTCTATTGGGCGAGTTCGATTTTGAACACCCTAATACTAAATATAAAACTCATTCGATTAGAATTTGGAAACTAAAAATGTTAAGTCATAACATTAAATTTGACTAAATACCCTTTTATTAAAATTTGAGAACTAAAAAGAGATAAGATGTAATATTATATTTGTTAATAATCAATATTATTTTATAATTTTACTCTTTAGAAACGATAAACATTTAAAGTATTATAGAATATTTTAGGAAACAAAATACTATATAACATAATTGATAATAATATAATAAAGAAATAATTAAAGCATTTGAAAATTTGAATAATATATAAAAATTGTTGAGAATAATTAAGAGAACTTTTTATGTTTTCTATAAAGAAAAGAAGAGTGCGTCAATTGGTATCTAGTGGAAACACACATTTTTGTATGTTGTAGGAAACAAATACTCAAGTAGTAGACGACAAGCTAGTGAGATGTTTATGGGGCAATGATGATTTTGAATGGTCAACTAATTGTTCCATCGGTCAATCTGGGGGATATTGTCAATATGGAAGAAGAGTGTTTTTTTGCCCTTTGTTTAGCTTCACAGGGAGTGGATTTTTGAGTGCTCATGGGATGTGGAAAGACACTTAATGTTACCTAGTTAATATATATTCCTCTTTCAACCTTGGGGATAAAAGGAAGCTTTGGTCATAGCTGATTAGGTTGAAAAACACTTTTCCTAAGGGTGAATGGCTAATAGGAGGAGATTTTAATGCAGTCAAATCAGTATTGGAGAGGAAGGGGAAGGGAAGATCGAGTCTTGTGGAGATGGAAGGTTTTTCCTCTTTCGTAGAGTCAATGGAACTCGTAGATTTTCCGATTGTAGGGAATAGGTTCACATGGTCCAACTCAAGTAGGACTTGCAAGAGTATACTTGACAAAATTCTGTTGTCGGAGGATTTCTTTTTGGAAACCAAACATTGATTGCATCAAGGCTCGATTATCATCATGGAAAGGTAGACTACTATCAATTGGAGGAAAGGCGAAGTTGATCAATTCGTTGCTTGCCAATATGCCTGTACACCACCTATCTTTTTTCAAAGCACCGGTCAAGGTTTTAAAGAAGATTAAGTCTATCTAGAGAAAATTTCTATGGTCTAACATGATTGAGAAAAGCTCAATGTCTTGGGTGAGATGGTCATTGGTTTGCAAGCCTAAGGATGTGGGAGGGTTAAATATCAAAGACGTGATCATTTTAAATAAGGCTTTGTTGTCTAAGTGGTCGTGGAGATTCACTCACGAGACAAACACATTATGGGCTGGTATTCTTAAAGCTAAATACGGTAACTTTAGGAAAAAGAATTCTTACAAAAGATTTTATCACAAGTTCTAGCATTAAATCAAATTGGTGGAAGGATATCATGGTTTTAGGTGATTCGTTACAAGAAGAAGGTTTTTATACTCAACTTTCATGGAAGTTGGGGGACGAGAGCTTCACCTCATTTTGCATTCTAAGTGGCTAGGTGCATCTTCTTTGAAGAGTTTATTTCCAGAGTTATACGAGGCTTCTGAATGCAAGCTAGTGGTGGTTAAAGACTACAACAAGTGGGAGGGAAATCAATGGTATTGGGAGTTGGATGATCAAAATTTTAAGCTAGGCGGAGACATGGATGAGGGCTTGTGTGAATTAAAGATGTTACTGGAAGAGTTAAAGCCTACCTGTGGCGTAATAGATTCTGTTGGCTGGCCAAAGGGCCTATTCATCTCCTTTTGCGTAAAATCTTGCTATGATAAACTTTCAAGGGCTGTTGAATGTTTAGTTCTAGACTCAAAACCAAAGATGACTATGAACACTTTATGGAACTCTAGGATTCCATCAAAGGTTAAAATTGTCGGTTGAAGACTATTGCTAAATTGTTTACCAACGCGTTCAAACCAAGCAGATAGAGGGGTGGTTTCAAATCCGCACGATAATGTTTGCGGTTTATGTTTTCATGTTGTATAAGATCTTGATCATGTATTTTTATCGTCCTCTAAATCTAGATTAGTTTGGCAAGAGATTGATAATTGGTTGGGTATTGTATCTTCTCCTATTTCCAATTGTGTTGAACATTTGCTGGCATGGACTAATGGTAAACTGTTAAAATTTTTAATGTATTATTAATTAATTTTTTATAAATCAATATTATTTAATTAATATTACTTTTCTTTATTAACTTCTATTTTGTATTTATAGTAAAAATGATACTACAAGATTAAGATATTTATGTAAAGATATTATTATTTCTCTTATATTTATAATCTTTTCTTAATCTTCTCTTAATTGCTATTTTGTATTTTTAAGTGTTTGACTAAGACTAACGTTTTCTTTAAACCTCACGAATTTTTTTGATGTCTATGAAATAGTCATTTAAAATTAAATCAAATACATATTTCAATTTTGTAAGTTAGATATTTTGTAATAAATATGTTTAATAGTTTATTAACTTAAACATTTGTAAACTAATTTTTTTTACTTTATAATATTTAAGATATAGCTCAACAGATAAATTGTTTTATTAATAGGCCTGATACTATATCTTAAAATATGAATTTGTAATTCTAAAATTGTACTATGTGTTCCATTTGTAAAATAAAGATTTTATTAATATGTATATCCTCTAACTATTAGAAATTCATTTAACTGTCTCTTTAAATTAAAAATAGTCGTAATCAAGTCCCTAAATTATTATTCCATCCGATTCTTATCATATATATATATATATATATATATATATATATATATATATATATATATATATATATATATATATATATATATATATATATATATATATATATATATATATATATATATATATATATATATATATATATATATATATATATATATATATATATATATATATATATATATATATATATATATATATATATATATTTTAAATTGATTGAATTACTAATCCTATATAGAAAAAAATCACAAAATAACTAATCTATTATAATTTGGACTAAATAAACATGTGCGACATATGTTAAAATATCCACAAATAAAAAATTTGTTTTGACAAAATAATTACCGAATTAATTATACATTTGAAAAATAAATTACTGACTATTTTTAAAATAATTTTTTTATAAAATTTTTAATTTATTTTTCAAAACAAAATTTTCATAAGTGAATTTTTAAACATGTACTATTAGGTAGAATAATTACATAAATTAAATTACAATAAATAAAAATATATTACATTAGTATTTTAAAGTAGTAAATAATTTAATACAAAAGTAATAAAAGTGACACCTAATTTAATTTAAGATGAAAAAATTATAATTATTTGAATAACAATTACCTTAAAAATTCTTAATAATAAATATAATTTGTTAAAAGGTTTAACAATTCATTTTCCAATAAATTGATTACACAAATTATCATTCATAACTATTTTTAATATTAAAACACATTTAAATCAAGGTCAAATTTATTTATTTTATCATTTAAATATATTGATATAATTGTAATAAATATATTTAAAAAAATTCAAACATAAATATTGGATAAAATGATTAATTTATGAGAATATTATATTGTCTTAAAAATATTAAATTTGTTAAAAAGATATACTAATATTTAGTTTTGAATCTATTACTTTGAGAGGAAGAAAGTATTTGATACCGGAGTGAGTAAAGCGGAGAAGAGCAGTTAGATGATGTAAACAACAACCACACATTTTATTACATTATTATTTCAATATAAATTTTCAAAATCTCGTATCGTATCTCTTTTCTCATCTCACATGTCGCAATCATGACCTGTACTACTCCTATCTAACTATCACGTGATAAAAACGCATCTCGCAATGGCAATTCTTGTAATAATCACTAAACCCTAAGGGCAAAAAATACGTGTCTCTCTCATTATAACTTTGTCGTTACACAACATGGGATCTGAACCCACTAAAAGTCACTTTCTCAGCATCTCTCCATTTTCAACAAATCTCCATCGTGAAAATCCATCATCAAGCTTCTAGATCAACATCCAACGGTGGATCCTCCGTTCTTACCATACCGTGTCTGTACAGAACCAAATTCCCATGGTCTGAAGCTGAAGACAGCTGTTAGCTCGAGATTCCGAGCCGATTGATTAGGCAAAACCGAAGCCGGCTTGGTGGGTCCCACTACATCTGCAGTTGTTATATAACTGAAATGACTTATCAGATAGCTTATCCATTGTTTGATAACCTTGTTTGATAACTTATTCTACTTACCACCTCTTCAATCTGTCGCCTCCTATAAAAAAAACCACCTATTTCTGCAACTTCAAATGTCCCCTTCTTTCTTTCTCTCTCTATTTTTATATATATAGATTAAGGGAGTTTCTAGAGAGAGAAAGTGTAGATTAGTCCATATCTAGAGAGAGAAAATCGAGTTTTGGTCTTTTTGGTGACTTTTGTTGTGGGTTTGGTTTGGTTCCATATTCGGAGTTTTCTTTGTTGTTGTTGTTTGTTATTCTTATGTTTGATGTGTTCGGTCTTTGAAGAAGCCAAGGTAACACAGTTTCTCTCTCTTTCATTCATGCTTCGAATCTGTACCCTTTAAAGTTTTTACAACTTTTTATTTTATTTTTAATTTTTTTAATTTTTTAATTTTTTAATTTTTTAATTTTTTGGGGTTGAGACTTTAGGTTCATGCATCTTCAACCTGGATTAAAGTTTTATTTTTTTTATGTTTGTTTGATTATATTAGAGAGAGAGAGTCAAATGGGTGTTTCAATTTTTTCTTAGTTTTTGTTTGGCTAACAAAACCATAGGGATTTTCTTTTTATAGTTAATTTTTACAAATAAGGAAGGTTATTTTTTTCTTCTTTTCCATTATTGATTTAAATTATTACTTAAATTTTTTTATTGTTGTTTATTTATGTGTATATATAGGTAACCAACCCTTTTGTTACAAATTTATGACTTTTTTGAAATATAATTTTTGCAGATCTAGTTGAGTGTTGGAGATTTTAGTGTGGTTGAGATGTCATCTCTGAGTAGGGAATTGGTGTTCTTGATCTTGCAGTTTCTTGATGAGGAAAAGTTCAAAGAAACTGTTCACAAGTGGGGCTAACTTTTTTGTTCTATTATTTTAACTTATTATTATTTTTGGTATAATCTTTTTTTTCACATTGGATTTGACTAATTAATTGATTATGGTTTGTGATGATTGATTAGGCTTGAGCAGGAGTCTGGATTTTTCTTTAACATGAAGTATTTTGAGGATGAAGTTCATGGTGGGAATTGGGATGAAGTTGAAAAGTACTTATCTGGTTTTACAAAAGTGGATGATAATAGGTATTCTATGAAGATATTTTTTGAGATAAGGAAGCAGAAGTATCTCGAGGCTTTAGATAAGTAAGTCTTATCACATTTCGGTTTTTCGGTTGTTAATTTCTTGTTGACTTTCAAGTCTAACAATCATGGTTTTAAATTGCGGTTAGGGTTTGATGCACTTGAAATGTATGTTTGGTTTCACGGTTGGAACACTTAGAATTGATTTTGGATGTGTAGAATTGATTTTGACATGTTTGGTTGCTCTAGAGTAGAATTGATAATGCTGTTCATAATTGATTCTAGTTGAAGTTAGGATTTGTAGTTTTTGAGTCTAATTGTTATTTTTACACTGAAATTTACAGTTCGACTAATTTTTGCAAGAAATTATACTATTGAAACTGTTTTTTAATTTTGTAATTTTGTGTTGTAGGCATGATCGGTCGAAAGCTGTAGAGATATTAGTGAAGGATTTGAAAGTGTTTGCTACATTTAACGAAGAGTTGTTCAAGGAAATCACGCAGCTTTTGACATTGGAGAATTTTAGGTACTTATTTAAGTTTCAATTCTTCGTTCGCATTGCACTTTCGAATTCGGTTTGCAAGATGTAGTGATTGACTCTTTGTTATTATAGGGAAAACGAACAGTTGTCGAAGTATGGTGATACTAAGTCTGCGCGAGCAATCATGTTGGTTGAGCTTAAAAAGCTCATTGAAGCTAATCCGTTATTTCGCGACAAATTGCAATTTCCTAATCTGAAGAACTCGAGGTTAAGGACACTCATCAATCAAAGGTAGTTTTTTTTTGCTGTGAAGGTTTGCATTGAAGATATAAAAACATCTTAGAAGCTGATTAGGTTGTGTTCTATTGACAAAAAAACTAAATTACAGCTTGAATTGGCAACATCAACTTTGTAAGAATCCACGTCCGAATCCTGATATAAAAACTCTTTTTGTGGATCACTCATGCGGACAACCGAATGGTGCACGAGCTCCTTCTCCTGCTAACAGTCCGCTATTAGGATCTTTACCAAAAGCTGGTGGATTTCCTCCTCTTGGTGCTCATGGGGTGAGCGAGCTTCTTTTGATATCATAGATAGGGCTTTGTTTAATGTCTCTATCATCTTTTGATTCTAATTATGTCGCGGAACTTTTCGTGCTTCATGGTTACAGCCTTTTCAACCTACTCCGGCATCAGTGCCAACACAGCTTGCGGGTTGGATGTCAAATCCTACCACTGTAGCACATGCTGCAGTTTCTGGTGGAGGTGGTATCGGTGGAGGAGGTATAGGTCTTGGAGCTCCATCAATGCCTGGTAATAAACTATTTCTCTTTCTATAGTTCTCCAACTCTTTTATGATAGTCATACTAAGAATGAATAGACGGTCGATAGATCATCGACACAGATACCGAACACTATACCAAGAACGAATAGATTATCTATGAATCACAGACACAGACACCAGACACTTTTTACACCAAGAATGAATAGATTATCTATGAATCACTAACACAACCACCAGACACTACTTATACCAACAGGAATAGACTATCTATGAATCACTGACATAGACACCGGGCACTATTGACATACCGATAATATGTTAAAGAAAAATGCAAGTAATTAAATGTAACTATAATTGTTGGTGTTGTGTCGGTGTCAGACTCCTGGCATGCCTTCAATCTGAATTACATTTGAATTTTGTTTCTTTGCCATGTTTAGGTGCTTTGAAGCATCCAAGGACGCCTCCTACTAATCCTTCTGTCGACTATCCATCCGGTGGAGACTCAGACCATGTTACAAAGAGAACAAGGCCAATGGGAATAACCGATGAGGGAAATCTACCTGTCAATGTGTTGTCGGCGTCATTCCCTGGTCATGGTCATAGTCAGGCTTTTAATGCACCTGATGACTTGCCGTTGCCGAAGACTGTCATGCGAAATCTGATTCAGGGCTCATCTCCTATGAGCATGGACTTTCATCCAGTTCAACAATCTTTACTTCTAGGTTGGTTGCTTTTCTACAGCATTTGAATAGCGTTGTTAATTTTCGATCAAAACTACCATTTTACTGAGTTTTTCTTTATTAAATGTCAGTTGGTACAAATGTGGGGGACATTGCCTTATGGGAGGTGGGTTCTAGGGAGCGGTTGGTCTCGAGGAACTTCAAAGTTTGGGATCTTAGTGCATGTTCAATGGCATTTCAGGTTGTCTCTTTAGTCTCCTAACTTGTACACTTTGATGTTGATGCAATCTAACCATGATTGAAGAGAAAACTAACCTTGATCAATTCAGGCTGCTCTTGTCAAAGATCCAAGTGTTTCTGTTAACCGTGTGATTTGGAGTCCGGATGGTGCTTTATTTGGTTAGTTGGAAACATTTATAATTCTTCAATGTCTGATTGAATATACATACTTACAAACTACGAATCACCACCATTGACATATCAACATCAGTAATCACATGTGTCAATGTTGTGTTAGAGTCGGATACCGAACATGCCCCGTTAATCTGAATTTGTTGAAATAACAGGAGTTGCATACTCAAGACACATTGTTCAGATATACTCTTACCACAGCGGTGATGAAATTCGGCAGCACTTAGAGGTACACATATACATGTTTAGTTATATAAAATTACATATGCATTGTTATGATGGTTTTAATGTGAACTCGTTTTCTAGATTGATGCTCATGCCGGAGGAGTAAATGATCTAGCATTTTCCCACCCAAATAAGCAACTGTGTGTGATAACTTGCGGTGATGATAAGACCATTAAGGCAAGTTTGTTAAAACACGAGCTATATTTACTGAAGTCGACAAGATCAATAAGTTACTAATTAAGTTCTGTAATTTTATAAAGGTGTGGGATGCTGCTTCGGGAACAAAGCAATATACGTTTGAAGGTCACGATGCTCCGGTCTATTCTGTCTGTCCGCATTATAAAGAAAACATTCAGGTAGAAACTGATTTTTTAACACCTTTGCGGAGAATGCTTTTTAGTTTGTTTGCATCAATATGACCCGGAAAAAAACTTTTTCTTGCGAATAATTGTTTTGTTGTGTATGTTGTAGTTCATCTTTTCAACAGCGCTAGATGGAAAAATAAAAGCATGGCTGTACGACAATTTGGGATCTCGTGTTGATTATGATGCTCCTGGCCGATGGTGCACAACCATGGCTTATAGTGCTGACGGTACAAGGTCAATATTCTCAATCACGGCTCCTTATAAATATCGCTGCATAGTTGAATTCTACCTCCATTTTTTCCGTTGCTTTACGTTCTAATATTTTGACCGGGAATGCATTACTATAGGCTCTTTTCATGTGGAACAAGTAAAGATGGAGATTCCTCTATTGTGGAGTGGAATGAAAGTGAAGGAGCCGTGAAAAGAACTTACCAAGGATTTCGCAAGCGATCTTTGGGTGTTGTGCAATTCGATACGACCAAAAATCGATTTTTGGCTGCCGGAGATGATTTCTCCATTAAATTCTGGGATATGGACAATGTTCAGCTTTTGACAACTGTTGAAGCTGATGGGGGTCTTCCTGTAAGTTCACAGTTTTATCGTAAATTAAAGAGCCGATTGTTCAAAAATGTGTGTTGCTAATTCGTTTCCGATCTCCTATCTCTAGGCAAGTCCACGTATTCGTTTCAACAAGGATGGAACTCTTTTAGCCGTCTCAACAAACGACAATGGAATCAAAATTATAGCCAATGCAGACGGCATTCGTTTGCTGCGCACATTAGAGAATTCTATGTATGATGCTTCGAGAGCATCAGAATCCTTGGTAAAGGTATACTTATAGATTTCATACTTTCTTCATTATCTCGTAATAATAAAAAAACTGAATCTAACACGATGTATTGTGTCAGCCAACAATAAATTCAATGTCTTCTGCTGCCGCTGCAACTAGTGCTGCATTAGCTGAGAGAGCCTCATCTGTAGCAGCTATTGCTGGAATGGTTTGTGATCTTATCCTCTTACTTTATTCTCGCACGTTCCTCGCAACTTTTTTGTTACATGAATTTTATCTTAAATTTTTCCGCATCAGAATGGAGATACTCGAAACATGGGCGATGTTAAACCTAGAATAAGTGAAGAATCCAATGACAAATCAAAGATATGGAAGCTCACTGAAATCAATGAACCATCTCATTGTAGATCCTTGAAGCTACCAGAGAATGTTAGAGTAAACAAGGTATGTTATTTGATTCATAATTATCAAATATCCACCGATGAATACTTTAGTAATCAAAGCATGAAATTGTTCTTACTTTTATGACAGATATCGAGGTTGATATATACAAATTCAGGTAATGCTATTCTAGCATTAGCATCAAATGCCATTCATCTTCTCTGGAAATGGCCGCGAAATGAACGTAACTCATCTGGCAAGGTGAGGGAGCATGTGAAGTTACTTTTTTAGGACTACTATAACTATTATCTATTCAAAAAGTGGAAATATGAATTATACCGTGTTTTTACGTGGACAATTTAACCCTGTAGGCCAATGCATCTGTGCAACCTCAGCTGTGGCAACCATCGAGCGGCATCCTGATGACTAATGACACCGCCGATAGCAATCCTGAAGATTCTGTTCCTTGCTTTGCTCTGTCCAAAAATGATTCGTATGTAATGTCTGCATCCGGAGGGAAGATATCCTTGTTTAACATGATGACTTTTAAGGTAATCTTTTATGTTGTAAATTTTGTACATTTGGAATAATTGTTTTTGGCGTATTAATCAATTTTTAACCTTGTTGTATACTTGTATATGTGCAGACAATGACAACTTTCATGGCCTCACCACCGGCAGCTACATTTCTTGCTTTCCATCCTCAAGATAACAATATCATTGCTATAGGCATGGATGACTCTTCCATTCAAATATATAATGTTCGCGTTGATGAGGTAACGCCGTTGTATCTGTGTAAATAATTTCTAATCGATCTATGAAACATAGACACCAGACATGACACTGGCACGGACATACCAATAATAATAACATAAGAAAATGAAAGTGATTGAATATAGCTACACGTGTTAGTATTGTGTTAGTGTCCACACCAGACACATTTTCATTCCCGTAGTGTCCGTGTCACGTAGTTTGAGATCGGTATTAATGTGAAATTCTCTTGCAGGTTAAAAGTAAACTCAAAGGTCATACAAAAAGAATTACTGGTCTTGCTTTCTCTCATGTATTGAATGTTCTTGTTTCATCTGGAGCAGATGCTCAGGTAATAATTTCTTTTTGTCAACTATAGATCCACTTTGAGTATTCAATTGGAAGTGCAATTTTACTCAATTGGAAGTGCAATTTTACGAGGCTACAATAGTGAGTTGCGTCTGAGGTCGTTTTATTATGCAGATTTGCGTGTGGAACACCGACGGATGGGAAAAACAGAAGACTAGATTCTTGCAGCTGCCTCCCGGGAGGACTCCATCAGCACAGTCAGATACGCGTGTACAGTTTCATCAGGATCAGATACAATTCTTGGTTGTACACGAAACTCAGCTTGCCATTTTCGAAGCAACGAAACTAGAATGTCTAAAGCAGGTTAGCATTTTGAGTTTCAATCTGTTATTGAAGTGATTCCATTATATTTCAATTTTCTTATGTATCGATATCTGGAATTATAGTGGGCCCCACGGGAATCTTCTGCACCAATATCGCATGCAACATTTTCGTGCGACAGCCAGCTGATATATGCAAGCTTTTTAGACGCGACCGTCTGTGTATTTAATGCTTCAAATCTCAGATTACGGTGTCGTATCAATCCTTCTGCTTATCTTCCTGCAAGTGTCAGGTAAGGCCCGAGCAAATTATTACTGGTGTCAACGTGTCTGGATATTGTCTAGTTTTCGCGACTATGTTTGTGATTCCTCAATAATATAACTTTTCATGTAATAAATGCACTTATTACGCGTGCTTATTTGATGATGCAGCAATTCAAATGTACAACCACTAGTAATCGCGGCACATCCACAAGAACCAAACCAGTTTGCTGTAGGACTATCAGACGGCGGAGTTCATGTGTTCGAGCCACTAGAATCTGAAGCCAAATGGGGGGTGCCGCCTCCTCCAATCGAAAACGGATCAGCAAGCAATAACGTAGCGGTAGCTACTTCAGTTGGACTTTCTTCCGATCAAGCACAAAGATAATTTAAAATCTCCATTATGAGCCAAAAAGACAAGTTTCTTTTACATACTTGACTTGTTGGCCATTTTCAAGAACTCAAATTAATATTTTACTTTAGTTTATTATGCAGATGGATTCTGTCCAAATCAGTTGATCTATTATTCTCTAATACAGTATATGTTCTAATGATGCATAATCATGTCATATCATATGCTGGAACAACTTTTTTGGTTGAAACCAAAAACCATATTGTGATTTCCCAATAGATGTGAAGATTTTTTCTTTCAAGTTTAATTTAATGCTACATAAGTAGAGATTTTACTACTTTGAAGAAAATTAATTAAATTAATTTTCTAAAAGACTGATAATAATTATGTTCATTTATTAGGGCAAGGAATTAAAAGTATTTATAATTTACCAATATGGTTAACAAAACTATAGTACTAGTACTCTATAATTAAAAAAGCATAGAGTAATCTGTAGTACTCTATAATTAAAAAAACAGAGTAATCAGTAATGTACTTTTTTTTTTTGGAATTTTATTAGTATTATATTTTAAAAAATTATAAAATTTAATTTTGCCAATTTTGTGAATGTCCTCTCATTCTGGCTAGTGTACTTTTTTAACCCTAGGAAGCATTTTTTGCTGAGTATAGTGTGTGCAGAATTAGATGGTGTGTTTTTTGATTGCAAATATCTTGGTTAAAAACAAAAAATAAATGCTACATTTGAAAGTATGTCTATGACTCTGACACAAGGTAGGGTAAAATATGTTTAGTTATTTTCATGTACCTTCACAGCTAGTGATGTCACAGTGCCACAGTACCTCACAGGGTTCACAACTGTTTCAATCTGAAATGATATGGATATGGAAAAAGTACAATATATATAAATTGAAATATAGACACGATAATCATAAAATAGAATGTGATCATGATAGAATTACCAAACAATCAAATAGCAATTAATTTAATTTTGAATGTATACCAGAAGTGTATTATTTAAGTTTATTTAATTGATAAGAATTTTATAATTACAGTTTTCAGGTTTAATACCAATAAAATTGTTTAGAGGGTTAGTTTAACACAAACATACTTGTACACAAGAAATTGATACTATACCATCAAATCCTAACTAGATGCGATTTTTAAAAAATTAATAAAGACTAAGTATACAATATATATGCAAAAATAAAAGAGATAAGGTTAGAGAAAATTTATGCAAGATTTATTGTAGTTTGACTCATTCGTTCTTGTTAGAGCTTAATCCGCTCTTCAATGATTTCACCACTGAAAACTTATAGGTTCTTCCACAATTATGAAAAATTAATACAAGAGTATTTTTAGTACTACAGATAATCAACAATACTGAATACTACAAATTGACAAATTGTCTTAGCCAAACACAACTATAACTTAATTTTCCCTTATGTTGTAGTAGAATGCTGAAAGTTCCAATTTTTTAATGTCTTCACTTGGTTTTGATCTAAAATTCTTGCTAGACCCAAAGATCCTGCTCCAAACATCTGTTTCGTGACGACCTTTACTCATTCCTAACGATTCCTTGTCTGTGTCTTTGTTCTACCAAATAATAATTAGAAACTCTCAACTTCATCCTAACCTTTACACAATTCTACTGAGTTTTTCAATGGAGTATTAGGAACATTCTTTCTCTTTAATGGAATACAATATCCATATGCCATTGACACAAACTGGTTCTTAATGTACCTTGAATTTGCCACACACACTCAATCTTCAGAGTTAAGTACCACAAAATTTACTTTTTGGTTCATGGTTGAAGGTAATGATGATTATATAAAGAATATTACACAACACAATATAGATCTCACAAGAACAACGTTCTATGAAGTATTTCACAAGGTTGAAACAAGGAGAGGATGTGTTTGTGAAAGGAAGAACACATTACACACATGAGTTTTTCTCAATATTTGTGAAAGTATGGATTTTTATCTTACTTGATCATAAAAAAAACGTAAAATTTTTTTTATGAATGTGTAAGAACTTTATATTCTGTGTGTTATGGAGAAAAATAACAAAAATATTTTATATAAGTGGTAGAGGTTAGACACAAAAGTGAAAGAAAACGAACACTGAGTTGAGTAAAATCATACAATTATGATTTGAATCAGATGAAAGAATCATTTTAATCAAGATGATCAAATTTGGATATAATAAGTTTTGATTTGAATTATAGTTTGATACTTGAGATTTGAGTCAAGATGTTTCTTAATTCGAGTCATGGTTAATTTTTATAGTTTGTTTGATCATGATTCGAGTCAAAGAGAATCGTGATTCGAGTTATGATATTTTCTGATTCGAGTCAAAGAACACCTTGTTTCGAATCAGAAATACAAAGGTAAAATTCTGATTTTCAAATAAGTTTTTGATTCGAATAAGCAATATGTTTGATTTGAATCAAGCATAAAAAACACCATGTTTTAAGTTTTTTAAGTGTTATTCAAGACACATATGTTATCTTTTGACTAACTTATTCATCATAAAAAAACATATTGAAAAGCATCGTGTCTTTCTTATTGAATGTATGGAATGACATAAGGTTCAATATATAACAAATGATCAAATTAATGAAAGCAATAAGTCAAATTATAAAAAATCGAAAAATGTTACAAAACATAAAAGCATAAATGAAAAAGAGCAAGGATAACACTATTACCGACATCGCAATTCCAATATCCCCTTTTTACGTTTGACAACTTTTAGATATTATTTGATTTGATTTTTCATTTGAATCCAATTATTGATGAATAGACAGTTGACGCACACAATGTTTTAAAAATTAGACCGGAGATCGAACCGATGAAACTTCCGGTTTAAGGTTCAATTAGTTCAACCGGTTAAACACATGGTCAAACCGTTTATTAAATAAACTAATAATATGAAACTAAATTTCATAGATATGTCGAACATAATCCTATGTTCACAATTTAATAAAATGTATATTTCAAAAATACATTACAAACTTAATACAACAATATCGATAATACATATATTAACATAACCGAATTGTACACTTCATTTCAACATTCATTTAAAAATAATTTGAAAAAATTAAAGAGTTACAATAAAATAAATTAAACTAATTCAAATCAAAATTAAAATAATACAATATAACAACTAAAATAATGTTCAAATAATTAAGAATACCTAAATTAAATAAAAAATACCAAAAAAATAATGCAATATACTTAACTAAACAACAAAAAGCGAATTGAGTTGAACTACGACAAACAAGTCATAGTTGAAAACAACAAACAATATTAACATGAACGAAAACCCGTGACTATGTATGAACGACAATAATATGAAAAAACATAAAAATTTGTGTGATTGTAAAAAAAATACCGAATTCTTTTTTGAAATTGGGGAATGTATGTTAAGTTTTGATATTGACATATTAAACTTTAAAAAAATATATAAAAAATGGTCAATTTGATATATTTTCTTGAATCAGACTGTTTTACAAAATCGGCTCTGGTTCTTTGATTCAAATGGTTTTGGACAGTTCAATGTGGTTTTTCTTGTTGTGTTCCGGTTTTAATCCATTGACGATTTTAAAAGGTTAACCCAACTGGATTTATCTCCGGTTTTCGGTCCAACCGATTGAATCGGCCGATTCGGTCCGATTTTTAAAACATTAGACGCACAAGTGCATTGATACATATTCTTGAGCTTTCAAATCCCCCTGCATTCAACACTTATCACACATAAAAAATTCGATATAAGTATCTCATAAGCTTTTTTTCCCTTTGCCAAAAATAAAAAAGAAAAAAGATGAAAAAATAAGGATAAAACGCACAACATATAAATCTCGACATGTAATTACTTTTTGAAATGTCACACAGTAACGGAAGCATAAATCACAATCACGCAAATGAAACACAAAGACGCACATAAACACAATTCAAGATAATATTAAAGCAATTATGCGATAATTGATGTGGGAAAAAAATAAACAACATACAACATGTTAAACAATATAAATAGATAAAACCACACAACTAGATTTAGATACCAAAAGCTATGAAAACTAACAATTTATAAAATGAACAATAAATACGGTCTAGCCTATCAATCAAACAACCTTCTATGGTCTTAGCAATAACAAACAATCTAAAGACACAAATTTTGATATAGGCTTTGACTGACAAAGTCAAAGTAGAAGGTCAATGAACAAAAGACACATGAGTATCCTTCAGGAGCTTCCACAACCAACATGTACTTGTCCTCATAAACTCTACAGAAAGGATTCTGATAGAAATACTCTGTTTTATCATCACAGTTATAATGTATAAGCTTCAAAACAGTGTCGTCAAACAGTTTGGAGCCATCCACGAGATCAATTTCTTCAAAAACAATATTATTCTTTTCCAAAATAAGTTGAATGAAGAAGGTATAAACAAAGGCTTACTCTTGAATTTTTTTAATTTTTTTTTTATAAAATGATAAAAAAAAAGTGCTTATCATTAACATATTTTCAATTTTTAGAATATTATAATAACATAAGTTATATTTGAATAATTTGTATAAATCTTTTAGAATCTTCCAAACCTCTCCTCTAATACAATTTTTTAGTTCTCTCAAATTAAAGGAATTTTGATTTATGAATAAAATAAATTCTCTAAAACCCTCCCCACTCACCTAAATCTTTTCATTTTTTCCAGTCAGTCTTTCCCTTTTTTCAAAGCTCTCACTTTCCCTCTCCTCCAAATTCCCAAATAAAGTCTCAGACTTAGGATTTCTTTGAGAGTTTGTAGGGGAGATGAAGAGTTTCGAAAAATTATCTTTAAGAAAATATAAAGAAATCTTTAATATTTTTTAAAAAATAATTTTTTCTAGAATGATAAAATAATATTTATCATTAATATATTTTTTTTTAACTTTTAAAATATTATAACAATAAAAATTATATTTGAACAATTTGTTTAGGCCCTCTAAAACCCTTCTCGAATACAAATTTTGAGTTCTCACAAATCAAGAGATTT